CCCAAGAGTTTGAGGTTGCTGTGAGCTGTGATGCTTTGGCACTCTACTGAAGGCGACAAAAGTGAGATTCTGTCTCCAAAAAAAAAAAAAAAAAAGAAATAAAATAAAAAATAAATAAAAATAAAGGTACAAAATTTGCTACCCACCAACAGAAAGATAATTAGAACTATTACTGATAAGACTTAAGAAAAAAAATATAAGATTAAGTCTTTAAAAAATTTTTTGTTATTTCCTTCCTTGTTTGCCAAAAAGGTAATTCATTGTTGGTACAACTTTCTATAACAAATATTTTATTAAAATGTAATAAACTGATACTATGAAAAGTGTTTTTAGATTTCTATATTTATTTATTTATTTATTGTTTTTGAGGCAGAGTGCCGTGGCATCACAGCTCATAGCAACCCGAAACCCTAGGGCTTAAGCGATTCTTTTGCCTCTGCCTCCCAAGTAGCTGAGACTACCGGCAGCCGCCACAAGGCCTGGCTGTTCTGTTGCAGTTGCCATTGTTGATTTTTGCTGGTCCAGGCTGGGTTTGAACCCGCCAGCCTCAGTGTATATGTGGCTGGTGCCCTGCCCACTGAGCTATGGGCGCTGACCTAGATTTTTATTTTTTGAGACAGTCTTGTTCTGTTGCCAGAGGGCAGTGGTGTCTCAGTGTAACCTCCAACTCTTCAACTCCTAGGCTCAAGCCATTCTCCTGCCTCAGCCTCCCAGTCAATTTTATATTCTGATGAGCAGCAGTCACTTTTCTGTTACTACCCTTTCCTCTCTTTAATTATACCAAACAATTAGAATGATTACTCTCAAGCTGGTCAGTGCATGAAGACTAACCTGAGAACTTTTAAAAAGCACAGATGCCTTAGTCATATGCTATACCAGGTGTCCTCAAACTTTTTAAACAGGGGGCCAGATCACTGTCCCTCAGACTGTTGGAGGGCCGGACTGTGGGCCCCAGAACCAGTTGGCTGCTAAGTAGGACAGGTAGCGGCGGCAAAACGGGCCAGATAAATGTCTTAGGCTGGCTGCATGTGGCCCGCAGGTCGTAGTTTGAAGATGCCCGCACCTATATCTATTAAATTAAAATATCCAAGGATTAAGGTCTAGGTCT